AACATATTCACTGAAGCTTCAGCAAAATGCTCTAAAATGTTCTAATTTTACTTTTCTCTTCTTTTATGTGTCTGTCAATTTGGACTTTCCTATTTCTTTTTGCTGGGCTTTTTCCTCAGGCTGCAGGAAAAATATTTTATAATTTTTGACATAAAAAAATCCAAATTAAAGATATTGTGTCCAGAAAACTCTAAACTGCAGTAATCAGATGTAAATACAAACGAACCGTTGTCTGGACTGGACATTATAATAACATTTTACATTTGTGACAGATTTCAGGGTTTAAATGTCTTTTTCTTTTTGCCGTTATCTTTCAGCCGCCCATGTAAAACATTATAATGAGCTCATTCAGGATGTATTACACGTGACAGCAGCCCAGTGGTTCTCGGCCTGTTTGCAGCCGGACTGACTGTACATTCCTAAACCTGAATCGGAATAACTGTTACTGGTCTCCACATTCAACATGCAACATTCCAGTTAAAGTTTCTGATGCAGAACTGGGCTCTTTCATCCTTCTAATGCTCTGGAGGAGGCGAGTAGTACAACAACATTCACATGCATGGAAACACAGGGATGCATTAAGCTGCTAGTGGGCTCCTTGGGGTGAACATGAACACCCATGACACCCCCAGAAATCTTTGTTAAACTTTTAAAACTAGCAAACAGTTCAGTAAGGAAACGTATAGATTGGGCCTAAAATCAGCCTCCCACATGCTTTCTCAGGCAGGTGAAGCTGAATTTAAATGTACTCACCATGATGTGTGTGAGTCCAGACCCTGGTCCAGCTCATCGCTCTGGGCCGTAGACCTCCACTGTTGTCCACCAGCTATTAACCCCCCCCCCCAAGGTGATTAATAAACATAATTGTCCTTCTTTAACGTATATTATAGTCACTGCCATTCTCTGGGCTGTAGACTGAACCAGGTGCTCTCACCTTGTGTTACTGACAAAGTTCAAATGTTAAGAATAGAAAGTGGTCCAGGAAGCAGCCCGGCCTGGGTCCTGACCTGAACCAGACCTACAGATAGTCAGGTGACCTTTGACCCAGAGAATTTAACCCTCCACACTCAGGCAGCCAACACATAAACCAGTCTTACCGCAGGGAGGATTAGAGACCAGGAACAGGCGGGAAACCAGTCAGAAAAACACCAAATGTTTGAGACACTCGACGTTTCCTCGTCACCATCAGCTGCCGCATGATTCTTGTCGTAGTCAGTCCTATGAAAAGTGACACATTTCTGGCAAATTTCTGCTTCTGAATAACAGCGGCTCCACTGCCAATCTGACTCCGGTTCAGTTTTTGTTCTGGACTGAGTTAACTTCATGATTGTGGCTTTGTTTTCAGTCGCCACAGCCGCAGTCAGTGGATTGTTTTTGGTGGAAATAACTCATTTCACATAAACCCAGTTTCGAACCACTTTAACTGTGTTTGTAAGTTTGTAATATCACACAAACTTTCCTCCATTAAACTTTCCTGAAAAGCCTCAAAGAGTCAGAGGAAGATTAGAAACGTATCCGTCCTGCACGAAGCTGCGTGTTCCAGGATTTATGGAAAAGTGGCAACAAGGTCACAGATGATTACATACAACAATTTTACATCTTTTGAGCAGTTGTCTGAAAGCTTCTCTCTCCCTAGGCCACATTTTTTCAGATACTTGCAAGTTCGTAGCTTCGTTAGAAATAGGTTTCCTCAGTTTCCTACCAGACCCCCTAAAACACCACTAGATGCACTGCTTAAACCAGTACCAGCTTTGGGAGGTATGATCTCATATATTTATGCCCAAATCCACTCTATGCGAATGACTCCCATAAATCCCCTTAGAATACTTTGGGAGGAAGACTTGGGTGAAGAGATCGCTGACAAGGTGTGGGGAAAAAGTGCTTCGAAGGATACATGGGTCATCTCTTTGTGCCAAACATGGATTCACACAGTGTAAAATAGTCCGTCGCACTCATCTTACAAAGGTAAGGCTGTCAAAAAGTTTAAGGATATAGACCCAGTTTGCGATCGATGTAATCAGGCCTTGGCAACGCACGCCCACATGCTGTGGCCGTGCCCTGTCTTAAAGTCTTACTGGGGAGACATCTTTGGAATGTTGTCTAAGATTACTGGACAACAGATCATACCTACTGCCTGTATGGCTTTGTTTGGGGTATCCCCGCCAACATCACTGTTATCCCCCATGCAGGAGTCATTTTGTCTGTTAGCTAGGGGCTTAATTCTTTTACAGTGGAAATCTAAATTACCACCATCACACGTACAGTGGATTAATGAAGTTCTCTACTTCTGTTGTGTCACCCGCGTTCTGCAGAAAAGCGGAAGTGCGCTGATCCGTGTACCGGTTTGGTCACGTGATGTTCCGTATAACCCCTATATGTGGGGAACCTGGATTTCCCTACTTCTCCAGAGTAATGTTCGTGTATGTATACTGCTCCTGGTGAATCATGTCACTAGCCATTATACGGGTGGGGTATTAGGGATGCAGCGTTGGGTTTTTTTAAATTTTTTATAATGTTTGTTGTTTCTTCTGGTTTGCTTCGGGATTGAATTGTAAACATGTTCATGGGATCCTCATGATGCTTTGTTGCACTGTTCTCTAAAAAAAAATTCAATAAAATTGTGTGGGGGAAAAAAGGTCACAGATGATTTTGACCCAACATTTGACAATGTTTAAAAAATAAAAAATAAAAATAAATAAAAATCACAACTGGCTCGTGTTTGAGCGACTGGTCGTTTTGGGAATGAGTAAAGGCAGCACAGGACGTGTTCAGGTCTCCACAATGGAGGCTGTAGAAGAAGACGTGCAGAAACTCTGGAGGAGACGCTGAATAATAACACATCTCTGGGAACCAAACAATTTTCTTAAGACTACTGGTTTTGGTCAACAAACTTTTTTCACCTTAAATTCACATGTGGCCCAGCTGCAGACAGGAGGTTTCAGGAGGGTCACAGCACAAACACGCTGTCCGGTTGTCCCTGAACAGGACGGAGACGTTTCCAACAGAGCCACACCATAAACGCACTCCAGCACCAAACTGAACAGTTAAACAGAAACAAGTTGGTTTTACATGAGAAGTTAGGAACACGGCGTAGTTGTGTTTAGAGACTAAACAACAGGAAGTCCTCAGTGGAAAAACCAGGAGAAATTTGACTGGACTTTGGTTTGCAGCCTGTTGCACACTGACACAGATAAAGTGTGTTAATGAGAAATTGGTTATTTCCACCAAAATGGCCCTTTGCTCAGTACCACACTGACTGAAGGCGCTTTGGTTTTTACTGCGACTGAAAACAAAACCACAACCAGAACCTAAACGCACCGTGTGGTGCCAGAGTCAGTGTTCACAACATTTAGAGGCTGATGATGAAACATCAGCTGCTGCATGTGAATTTAAGAAGAAACTTGTATTCAACAATCATTTAAACTCTCCCAAAATACATAAATAAAAATAAATAATAAAACAAATAACTATCATAAATCCTTGTTTGGTTTTATCTCCTTTCTGCTCATCTTCCTGTTTGAACCTTTGATTTAGTGAAACACTTTTTAAAACCTGACGCGTTGCAGCTGCTTCTCTCTGATTTTTTACTGCTAAATGCTCCTGTGTCAAGTGTTTTTGGCCCCGTCCTGTTACATCCCTGATGCCCCCCACCCCCAGCAGCAGATCCCGTCTGATCCGAGCTCTGGGGCTGTTTGTTGTCGGAGCTGCTCTCAGATCAGGCCGCCCAAACAACAAAGACAGACTTTCAGCAGCAATTTGTTCGTTTCCTAAAAGAGGGCTGCGAGTTAAACGAGTCAGAGTGTAACGCAAGAACCCCCGCCACTCCGCCTCACCCCCCAACAACGGAGCTGCCGGGAACCCAATCTCTGTCAGGCCGATACTATCGGCCCCATGTTAAATGGGGTGACCAGCAGTGAAAAGACAAAGGCAGCAGCAGAAGGACACGGGGGAGGAGGGACGAGGGGCCACATCTCCTCCTTAACTCCAAGACTCTGTGTCCAGGAGACTGTTCGGGAACACTTGGACGTCAGCTGGCGCCAAAACAAATGAGTTTATATCTTCAACAGCATCTGAAACAGGATGCTACTTACTGGTTTTCAGATGAGTCGCCAGTAACTTCCAGTATTAGTGAATTGGTTCTCAACACCAAAGTGGCCGGTGTTTCCCTCTCAGAGCGTCTGACATGTGACTGAAATCCCCCCAGAGTTCAGATGGCTACTGGTTTCCAGAGGCCCTTATCTTTAAGATGACAGTTGCTGATAACTTTCAATTGTTTTTTAATTTTTCAGTTTGGTGACAAAAAATTCAGGCTTTTCAGACATTTGTTCTTCTAGGAACGGGTGAGACTGGGGCTGAGACCGGGGCTGAGACCGGGGCTGAGACCGGGGCTGAGACCGGGGCTGAGACCGGGGCCTGAGAAGCAGCCCTGTCTGAATACTTTGAACTAAAATGGGTTTTAGAGACCAGACCTAAAATTTTAAAGACAGCACTTTATAAACTGGGGTCAAAGTGCCATCTGTTCAGCGTTTCTCCACCTGGGCTAGAAGGCCTCAGGAGCAGCTTGGAAACTGGTCCCAGTACAGGTCAGTTTCTTCTTCTGAACTCGTCAGCGTTTCCTGTCAAGGCCTCCACTAACCCGGGCTGCGGCCGGATCTCCGAAGGCACAGCGGTGCCAAAATATTCAGCTCTGATCCATGACGTGTAATGTGAAGAAGGTGTTTCATGATCCCAACTGATTATTTTAATACAGTACTAACATGTAATAACGTCACAGAATTACTCTTCTGATGTTTCACTTTGCTGCTAAAATATTCACGTCTTCAGTGAGTTTCCTCTGGAATCTACTGACAAACTGTTGGACACTGATTTGAACTGGTCTGAGGGAAACCAGGAGTCTGAGTGGAAAGCAAAACAGACAGTTTTCAAAATAAAAGTCTGATTTTTTTTTTAATCTCCGTTTTCTTCAGATATTTAAATGTTTTGTAATTTAATGCCAAAAACTGTGCCATCATGTGAAGCAGGTGTTAGACCCACAGCCAACGAAGCTGAACTAAGTTCAACACAAACCTGAATCAGTGATGGCGGTGACCATGTGTAGGCCCGTGGACACACAGTGAAACACTGAACCTGGTTTGTTCTCATGTGATGCTGCAGAATTTTAAATCATGTTAAACCGAATTTAAACGCTCTCTGACTCTGACATTTGAAGATGTGGTGCCAAAACCTCCACCCGTTTTCAGAGTAAATCCTTCTGATCCTACAGCTTGGATCCTGGTTTCACACGAAGCTTCTGGAGAGTCGTCCACCACCTGAACATGCAACAGCTTCCTGTGACTCCTGAACCTCGGAGCATCACGGGACACTGCGCGCCTCACAGACCAGCACAAAGACAAAGAGGAGCAGGCAGATGTTGTGCAGCTGTGACCAGAGGTTTACAGGCTGCAGATCAGTGTGCGCGACACAGAGCGGGCGATTATTGATCTGTGGAAAAACACACACGAGTCGGTTTGCGAATTTCTGCCACAATAAAGAACCGCGAGGTTTCCAGCGTCTTCAGGCCGAGAACAGACGTTTCTCTGCGCGTGCACAGGGACCTGCGCATGAGAAGGGAAACATCACATTATTATTATCGCCCTGTGCGTAGTGTGACTGTACGCTACACAAAAACCCACTGACAGGACGTTTACTGACGACCGCCGGACTCGCGGTTACGTCACGCCGCAGACAGTGCGCGACGTTCGGCGCGAGGGCTCCAGCGCCATTGACCCTGGACTCTGTTTGTCCTCCTGTGGCACCTTTAAAATAAAAAAGTGGAAATAAATGTCTGCAGAAACGAACGCGCACGAATGTGTCAGGTTTATTTCAGATGTGATTTGGGCTTTAAGAGATAAACGTTTCTAAATCCTGAACAGAGAAAACGTTTGCGCCTGGAAAGAAAAAAACAGAAACATGATGGAAGATTGACCTCTGACCTCCACACAGACGGTGCAGCCAAAACGCTCAGGAGCTGCTGGAGACAGTTTTGCCAAAACAAAACGCAACATTTCAGGATTTCCCTTAAATACATTCATTTAAATTTAGTTTGAAGTCAAACCGCTCCTGCCTGTTTCCTGCTTGACGTCTTCACGGACAGAAAACGTGCACCTGTACACCTGTGAATTGTAAAGTGCATTAACACAAAAGAACAAAAGGAAACTCTTGGACGATAAAACCCTAAATGTTCATTCAATAGAAAAGCGCGGAATTTTGTCCGATTATCAGGAAACAATCAATTAATTCATGAAGAAATAAGATAAACCTTCGCAGAGAACCAGAGACAGAAGCTCCAGGCTGTGAACATTTATCCAAAACTAGCAGCAGTGACCGTTTCTCTGCTGGATCAGTCCACACCGTCCAAAACACGTTTTACCAAACAACCAAAAATGCGGGTGCGGCCTGGTCGTGGCACCACCGTCCACCCATTGTGCAGCGGAAGGTCCTGAGTTCTTTGGGGTTTCTGCAAACACAAAGAGACGAGCGGCGGACGCGCAGGCCGCAGTGCAGCTTGTCGCAAGGACGCTGCATAAATGTGCGGAAAAACGCATATGTTTGGTGCGATTCTGCGGCAGCACAACAGCAGCAGGCAGAACGCGGAGCCTCTTCGAACAGTGGATTTAACATCCAGAAAACCCGCAGGTCAGAACGACAGCAGCTGCTGCAGCAGCAGAGCAGGAAGCGCGCACACCGAGGCTCACATGGTGCATTCACATCCAACTGTAACGTCTAAGAAAAGATGAAGAATCTGCTGCATGTACTTCATCTGTTAGTTGGTTTGGTTTTTATCGGGGAGTCTGTAGAGAGCACAGACACAGACCGACGATCACATTCACCCTTCAGTTCTTTATTTACTTCAGAGAAAATGACAAACGTGCACACGCGGACACAGCAGTGAACTGAACGAGGCCAGAGGCTCCTAGACTCTGACTTGTGTTGGAGGAAAGGCCAAACATCTGCAGGGTAAAGAAGCGTGTTTGCTGTGAGCACGAGCGGAGAAAAGGTGAAAGACTAAAGTCCAACTGATGCGACACATCATGGGTGTGCACGGTGCTGTAGAATCACAGCACACGAGCGGAGTGAGGCAAAACCACCTGCACCGACACGTCCAGAGAATCACAGGAGCATCTGAAAATCACCGTGGAACCAAACCACACAGTCAGGAAACCTGACGTTTCTTAGGAAAATACATCCAAACGTGACGTTTAAGGAAACGAGCTCAACTTCTCCGCCGCAGTTTAAGGCTGCAAACCGGCCAGTGCGTGAGGAATGAGCGTGTCCACCAACATCTATCAAAGAAATAAATAGTACAAATAAAAGGTAAATACATTCTGAAAACTTAAAAAGCACAGAAAATGATACATTTAAGGACTAAATTTAAATCCAATCAATCAGGACAGACCGAGGCCAAACCCACGTTCACGTGCACAGATTTATCTGAACACAAACGACAAACTAAAATAAATAAATTAAAATTAAATCAAAACGATGAGATTTGGCCTCAACACCGGCTCTGGTTCCCTTCCACGCCGCTGGCGTGACATCAGGAAGCCGCGAAATGAGGCCAAATAGCACAAACCGCAACAACAACATACACACGTCTCTCACGCGCACTGTCAACATGACAACACACACTCCGCGAGCAACAAGAACAAAAATCCGACGTCTCAATAAGAAAGTGTGAGAACCGTGCACGTTCAGGGCTCCAGGTGAGCTGACTGCAGCTTGGAGCTGCGCACAGGAACATTCAGACCCCGCTCACGAAAACGGAGGAAATATGGGGAAACCTCGTCCTGTAAAGATGTGAACCAGTCGGTCTCGGAGGCCGCAGTGCCTCAGATTTCACTGTTCCAAAGGAGAAGTGTCACAAGCTGCAGCACAACAAAGCCTCAGTCCGTCAGGCTTCGGGCCTCAACGCGACCTCTGCTGCATCATTTCACACAGTTTGTCCAGAAAGACGCGCGTAAATCTGTGTGCGTACACAACTAAACTCCCCAAAACACTCGTTGACGAGGTTGATTATTCCACAGCCAGGGCTGAAAACACTCGAAGCAATGTTGCTGTTACGCTGCTGGACGTGGACGCGCCTGTGCTGGAGTGGAGCTGCTGTTTGCGCTGCATTAAAACCGTCACAATATTAAAATTCGTTCTTGGCAGCTGAGCAGCGAAGAACCGCGTTAACAAAAGGCACAGTTTCAGCTGAAGCCCAAGAAAATGTGAAAATGTGAAAATGTGACTTTGAAAGTGTTGGAAGCTTTTAGAAATAAAGCACATTTCATTTAAGTTGTTGTACCTGTTGATAAAACCCGTGGCAACGTGCACGGCAGGAGCAAAGAAGACAAAGGGAGTTTCGTTAGTTATGAATGTAACCTATGATTTTATTTGTATTTTTTATGATTAAAACATTTTTTTCTCTTTTTTCTCTTTTGTAAGCGACAAACACGGGAATAAGAATAAGACCACAATAGTATCACAACCATGAAAAATTGTTTTAGAGACGACAATTAAAGGACAATCATTCCAAGTAGAATTAGATAAGGAGGCTTTTTTTTCTTCTGTCAAACAAACGGGTTTTTACATCGGCCTTTCTTTTCGACAAAAGTAAAACCCCAAATTCAAATTACAAATAGACATTTTCCTCTCTCTTTTGCTAATTATACAAAAAATAATAGTAATAAGAGAAGATGAGTGAACGTCCGTTTTCTCGGCGATCACGTTTACAATCAAAGAAAACACATCACAGGCTTCCACTGCGGAAAACATCCATGAACCAAACGAGATATTTAGGCTGAGGAATGAGTCGGAGAGTCGGAGCTTTGTGTCAGATCAACAGCTCATCTCCAGCTTTAACGTGAGATCCAAACATCGAGCGGATTAAGGCAAACATCCCTCCAGCTGCCCCCACGAACGGTGGCTGAAAAAGCTGAAATCGACACCAAACTCCCTTCAGATTTCCCCTAATTTAAGAAAACAGTCAGCTTCATCCGACCGCGATCAACATCTCGTTTAAATGGACATTTTCTGCAGTGAAGGAGGCATCACTCACCCCTTCATGTATTCACTCACTCATTCACTCACTCCATATTTCCTACTACATCAGGCCTGGCATGTTGTGCAGCTGAACTGACTAAATGTCCTAAAACCGATTCTTTGGTCTACAAGTACAGTAACATGTTGAAATGAATGAATGGAGAAACAGCCTCGGGACTTGAACGGCGGGGGCCGGTGCTGCTTTGCTTTCTGCTTAAAAAACAAAAACATTTCACTAAAACATAAAACAAAATTTTAAAAAAATTGCGTTTAAATTTCCTAAAATAAAATCCTTCTCCACCGCCTCCTCTCTGACCCACATGGTACCTGATAATACTGCAAACATGCGGGCAAAGCCGGCGAGGAGAGACATTGTTGTTCATATTTTGACCTTTTTTAAATCTTCAAATTAGACCAAACTATTTTAAATACACATTCTATAAAAAAGTAAAATCTCCTCCAACAACAACAGAAAGGAAACTCAGCCTACATCATCATTGAAATCTCAGATCACATTGCACGTCGCTGACTGACAGTACTATACAGAGACAAAGCCCGACACTCGGTCACAGACAGTATGTACACAGAAACCAAACCGCTGGAGAAGGTGGAGCAGAAGAAGAGGAAGAAGAAGAAGATAATAATATTAAAAAATACCTGAAAGTTCAGGGCTGCTTTCTGTCTGAGTCTCTGCTGCTGCTTTGTTTCGCACTTTAAGTCTCTCCGCGTTTTTCTATAGTAGCTCGTTTAGAATAATTCTGTCATTTGTACAATGGAAATGTTCAACTTACAGCTCCAGTCACTTCACCATTTTCACTCCTTCAGGGGCGGATGACAGGGTTTGGGGGTGTTAGTGTATAAGCGGGTTGGAGGTCGATCCCTGGTTTTGATGCGTGAAATAGTCAGACAAACCCCCGGAAAGTCCCGAGGAGAAGGCCGGCAGAGAGCCGGACAGAGCCGGCCTCAGAGAGTCACAGGGCAGCGAGGAAGAGGACGGAGCCTGCGGGGAATTGGAGGCCGAAGCCCGCGCGGCCTGCAGGGAGCCGCCGCCGCCGCCGGTCTGCGTGGGCATGGGCGGGGCTGGTCTGCCCGGCCAGCAGGTTGACCGAGCACGGGTTCAGGGAGTAGGTGGCCCCGGAGCAAGGCACGGAGAGGCCGCAGGGCACCGCCGAGGCCGCCAGGGCCGCAGCCGTCAGGTGGTGCGTGGCGTAGGGGAGGTCCCCGCCGACCAGCCGGTCCATGCTCAGCCCGTTGGAGGACGGGAACGACGAGTGGTTGCTGCCCATGTTCTGGGTGAGCATGGTGCTGTAGGACATGGGATGACCCGGGTAGCCTGAGGAGGTGCCATTGTAGCCCAGGGCGCCGCCGGCCCGCGGGTGGTGCAGGGAGAGGAAGGGGGACATGGGCCAGTACAGGGAGCCCGCCCGGTCCATGAAGGTCAAACCCGAGGTCAGCCGCGCGCCCCGCTTGAAGGCCAGCTTGGCCCGGGACGTGGTGGACCGCCGCCGGAGCTTCCCGGTGGTGCCGCCGATGAACACCCCGTCG